CTCTTTCCCCAACTTATGAACCCCCTTTTCTCAATACCAATCTCAGTGTTAATATTTAGCTGCTTCAAATTCAACAGCAAGTGTGTGATGTTAGAGGCTGCAGCACAAGACCTTCTCTTCCCCCTAGCCAATACATTTCTGCCTGCACTTCTCAGGCAACCTGTTGCTGAGTGAGTTTTGGAAGCTTCCACAAGACTTCCGATGGTTTGAAGATCTTCAGTCACCTCATACCGCGACAAAGAAGCAAGGCTAGGGAGAATTTCACTTTGGAAGTTGTTCCCTCGTCGCCTCCTATTTGCCCGACACTTTCTCGGTTGAGTTGGTGAAGTAGATCCACCTTCTTGCTCATTTTGGTCACTGCTCTTGTAGCAGTAATCTAGGTCCTTTGTGTCGGGCAAATTTAAGGACATGAACTCAAAGTAATCAAAGTCAGCCGGCAGAAAGTCCTCAAGATCCTTAATGGTACAATTGAAATCCATCTTGACCACACTCTCTGAATGATCCACTACTGTAGAAACAATTCCAGCAAACCAGTGGAGAGAACTACTTACAAAAGATTCAGATGATGGACAAGTTGTAACATTATTGGCCACAGCTTCTGATATGGAAAACAAAGCCTCAGCTGCAGTTTTGGCTTGCTCTTCTTGTGCTTCTGGATCCTCCTTCCCTGCCAATTGCAATGGCATCTCAAGCTGGTTTTCATCAGATTCTCCTCTGGGTGGAGAACATTCCTTGTTTTCTGGACTTGCCGGTGCTTGTAGATCAATATCAATCAGCATATTCTCATCCTCATTCATGCATGAATTTAGGTCAAGAATACCTGCAGGTGCCTGTTTCCCTGTGTCAGGATCACTATCACAAGGTGAATTTACATTGGATACCTTCTTAATTTCTTCAATCCAATGATTTTTGGACAGGCTCTGGAAGACTTTGGATGCCTGAGGCTTTCCATTTAGGTCAAATGCAAGAATCTTGTCTCTACACAAGTCACTTTTCACAACCTTACAGAAATTCAAATCAGAATGTACACACCCAGACTTACAAGGATTCATAAGGGAAGAGTCAATATGGGTTGAGGTTTGATTTTCTTCATTGGGTTTTCCTTTGGGCACCTTTGCTTTATGCCAGGGCAATCTTGAATCCTGCAATTTATCTTCTTCACGTGCAATTCGAATGCTTTGAAATGCTGCAGCAGTTGTATCAGAAAAACCAGCAGGCATAATATTCAGGTTTATGTTCTTGGTTGTCCCCACATATTCCGAATCCTTGACACACTTCCTAAACTCATGGCCAGCTGATGATGAACCACGGTTGTCAAAACTGTTTAGATCATCAGTACTAATCGATAGCAGATCCACCGGATTGGACCTGCTGCAAAAGCTGCTGTTGAGAAGATAGTTTTGACCATCTAAATTAGGGCCAGATGTACTACTTTTCCATAACATTGATGGAGAAATCCCTGAACTTTTCATATCAGGCTCAGAAACAAGCTGACCAGGAGCACATGTGCATGAAGTATAGCTTGGTTCAAGCCAGGCACCAGTGGTGGGATCATGAGTTCCTGCAGGGTCCTCGGTCCTAGGTCTTGGGACAATTTGATGCATCGAATGAAAACATGGACAATTGTTAACTTGTTTCAGCTTCTTACTTACGGATTCAATATCATTAAATTTAGCAAGAGAATCCAAGTTGCTGTCATTTTTCCCTGGAAAATGAAGAATTCACTATATAAGAAAAGGTTCACTAGTACAAGACATGTATTAGAATCTATTTGGATACAAACTTAGAAGCACTTTTAAGAGCTTTTCTACTAGAAAAAAAAAAAAAAAAAAAAAAAAAAAAAAAAAAAAAAA